CCACGCTCCTAAATAACAGAAAAGAGAGAAAAAGAAAGCTCTAGGAGCTAGAGAGATGGCTCAGAGGTTAAGAGCACTGTCTGCTCTTCAGAGGTCCTGAGTTCAATTCCCAGCAACCACATGGTGGCTTACAATCGTCTATAATGAGATCTGGTGTGCAGGTGTTCGTGCAGACAGAACACTTATTATTTACATAATAAATAAATAAATCTTAAAAAAGCTGTAATTTGCTCTTTTAGAAGATTTATGTCTATAATTTTTAATTATGTGTATGCATGTCTGTGTGTGGGTATGTGCATGCAAGTGCAGGTGGTCACAGAGAAAGAAGAGGGCACTCTGGACCTGGAGTTACAGCTGCTTGTGAGGCAAAAGACACCACAGGTGTAGGAGCAGACCCTGGGTCCTCTGAGGAGCAGGAAGTGCTCTTAACTGCGAGGCCTTCTCTCTAGTCGAGAACACAGAGCTAGATGCCAGCTCAATTTTATTTTTGTAACAGAATTGTTTTATTCACATTACCAACATAAGTACTTAAAGAACATTCTTTATGAGTTAGTTAAGATCAGAGAGTAAGATTGGGAGAGTAGGGGCCTCCTAACATTCCCATAGTGTTAGGAGTGTACATGGGGAAATGATGGAAGCATGGCTCACAAAACATGCTCCTTTAAGACCTAGGGCTGGAGCTCAGCTGGTAAGACTGCTTGCCTGGCAAGCATAAAACTCTGGGTTCCAGCTCTAGCACCCCATAAACTGGGAGACAGAAAGAGGAGGACTGGACATTCACCAGCATCCTTAGTCCACAATGAGTTAAGAGGCCAGCCCTGCCTCCAAAACCAACTCTCTTTTATGTTTTCCTATGCACAGCCCATTTCTAGATCACAAAGTTGAACTACAGCTATCTTGAAGGTTACACATTAAAAGATGGCAGTTTCCACCTAAGTAGGTGCCTTGATTAACAGTCCAAGGAAGAACTGCCTCACACTATTATGTGTTAGACATATTACATAACTTGGGGTTTGTTTCAAAAATTAATACTCAAATTCAGCTTTTAAAAAGGTAAAGTTGATGCTGGAGATAGGGCTTAGTGGTCAAGTATGAGTCTAGCCTGCAGAAGGTCCTGGGTTTGATTCCACTGAAAAGAAAAAGCTGCTGGAATTTAATCACAGTGGCATCTGGCAATGAATTTAATATGATGTAGAAAAAGCCAAATACCACAAACTTTAATTTCTATTTTCATTTCCTCTGGCAATATTTGTACTTTGACAATTTTAGGAAGTTTTATTCCTGAAAATAATCTAAGATTTGGCAGCAAGATACTTTATTAAAGAATTTATTTCTAGAGAGGTGATAGTACTCAGAACCAGAAGTAGGAAACTTAGCAGTTCAAGGTCATCCTTGGCTATACACCGAGTTCAAGACAAGCCTGGGTTATGTGAGACACTGTCTCCAGCTGCTTTCTTGCCTGTTGACAATGAACTTAAAAGGTATCTGAGAACTTACCAGTGAAGTACAAGATGCAGGATGATTGTATGGATACCACCACACGGTCTTATAAATGTTGATATACTGAATGAACAGGACAATCAGCAGGTAGATGAAGAAAAGAAATTCAAAGAACAGGCTCCCATCTACTGGTAAGTCAGGAATTTGGCAATGACGAACAGGACCTGGGGTGATTAAGGCTGTGATAGGTGGGACTGGAAGGCCAATAGCACTACCATTCCTGAAAAAGAAATTACAGTTAACTCAAATGGTGACGGCCATAAGTGTAACACCTCATAAGAAGCCCCATTGCCTCTGCCATCTGCTTCTAATGCTAGCTTCCTGCTTCTTTCCCTCCCTACACATTTTCTCAGTGATCTAAGAGGTAACTGTACCTTCCATTAGCTCCTGGGCATGGAAGACTAAAATTTCTCCAGAGAGCTCACCTTGAATTTAGTCTCATTACCCAGTTGCCCACTGAACATCTGTGCCACCCACCCACAGACCTGACAGTAGTCCATGGTTTTTTTCTGCTAGCTGCCCAAATTAAAAAACCTAAGCGACGGCTTATCATCTGCCTCTCCACATTCAGTCACTCTCTAAAGGGCTGGATCTAGGTTACATAATTCTCCTTAACCTCACTTTCCCCTCTCAATCTTAGTTAAACCATCAACCAACTTTCACCTAAATTACTGCATCAACCCCAAGTCTACCTTCACCGAGACCTCTAATCTGCCTTCAAGGAACTTTCTAAGCAAAATTCTGAAATTACTCTCTTACCTGAACCTTTAAAATAGTTCACCATTGCCAATGATAAAGCAGAAAAACATTTTTAGTAAGTCATGAGGTCCTTAACAAAGTGGCCTTACCACAAGTCCCTGCTCTACGTGTACCACATACGCTATCGCTATCCTCGCTGTATGCCATCTGGGATTAAAGGCATATGCCACCACTGCCTAGATTCATTCTTCAAGACTTTAAAGGGGCTGGCAGGGGTGGGGGGTGCTACCTTAGTGGCAGAGTGTTAGCTTAGCAGGTACAATTATCTGGATTAGATCTATAGAATCATAAACAAACAAATAAACAAACAAAATCCATCTAGCCTGGAGGATGGTTCAGTGGGTACAGGCAGCTGCCAAGATTGACTACCTAATTTTGAACACTGGGACCCATACAGTAAAAAAACAAAACAAACAAAAACTCCTGCATGTTGTCCTCTGATCCCATACATGCTCCATGGCACACGTGTGCTCCCCCCACATGCACAAGAGAAAAGGAGGGAGAGGTTGTTTGGGGGGATGTTTCAAACATATCCTCTATGACGTTCACTTTAACTGAAAACAGAAACACCTTTCTTCATCAACTTAAACTAATTATGCCTTAATTCTTTTATTTTTATTCCATCACATAATTTTTGCATATAGACATAGTCTTAGCTACCAGATCATAATCCTGAGGGAAGAAAATACTTTCCTTAATTCACTGCAGATACATCCATTTAAGAAGACAGCAAGCCAGTACAGTTACAAAAGAGAAAGGGCTCTTAAAATATAAGTTAGAACTGATAATCCCTATCTTCTTGCTCTTCCAACCAACTTGCTTACAGGTCAGAAAGAGCTCAGCTATCCAGTGAGAAGCCAGGGGTAGAAAATAAAGTTTTCTGGGAATAGTTAGAGATCTAAAAGTCGACTGTTATTTACACAACAAGGAAAAACAGGCATGGTTTTTAATACCAAGAGAAGGAACAATATTGTTGCTACCACTCTAAAACTTCCAAATATAGGATTCTAGCTGGTATGTGGCATTTACAGTACTTTAAGGGACTCCTGGGAACATGAACTTTGCTTGTTCTGAATAGTGAAGAACACTATGACTTGAATGCAAAGGATTAGTGCCACGGCCACTTCCTCACTTCATTTTGCCATAAATGACAAAGTTAAAAATGCTGATGAAATGTCATGAAGCCAAGAGACTCTAATCTAAACAAATAAAAAGATCCCGTTCCCCTTCAGTCAAAATAAAGGATGAAAAGTACATGCTATTTAAGAGTTTAGAAGGTCATAAGAATTTCCTCAAGGTAAGTGGATTGATATACTTATGTCACTATACAAGCCAATGAAATGGTTGTTTCAAAACAGACATTTATGGATTCACACCTATAATACTCCGCAGCTTTCGCTTTTTTAAACGAAAGACAAGAGACTAAGGTCAGATAAAGCAATAAAGGGCATTAGAAGGAAAAAGGAAAGCACTCTATATAAAGAGAATCTGTAAGGTCAGGTCATCTCATCTATAAAGTTGAAAGCTTGAGGAGGATATGTCAAAAGTTCTTAAAAACCAAAATTTTTTAAATAACTGAACAAGGCACATATTTTTCAAAATACTGTATTATACTCCATAGATACAGTTATAAACTAATCAAAAACAAAAGTTCTAAGAAGTTTAAAAATCAATATACTTGGTCAATGCGTATCAGAAAATTAATTGCAGAAGTAATACTTCGGAAAAATAAAGCACTGTTCCTGGTCTGAGAATAAGGCTCAGTGGTAGAGAACCTGCATAACATGTAGAAGGCGGGCTGGAGAGACGGCTCAGCAGTTAAGAGCACTGGCAACTCTTCCAGAGGTCCTGAGTTCAATTCCCAGCAACCACATAGTGGCTCACAACCATCTTTAATGGAATCTGATTCCCTCTTCTGGAAAACACTCATATACATAAAATAAATGAAATAAAATTAAAAAAAAAGATGTAGAAGGCACTGGCACAGGGAAGGGAGAGACCGCTTAATATGATACAAACACGGATTTGAGAACCCCAACCTTTTCACTGTTTTTGTTGCTGCTGATTTGAATACCTGATGCTCCCGCTTCCACCTCTGGAATACTGGAATTACAGGCCTGTCTGCCACCACCCTGGCTTAAGGATTTGCCGAGAACTAACCCAGAGCCTCTAGTATGCTAGGCCTGTACACTACCTGCTGAGCTATATTCCCTAGCCAGATTTAAGAATCCCATTTAGGATGCACACAATTCCAAAGCAACAATTTGTAAGACATGCAAGGGACTGTTTACAAAGAAAGCGCACTAGAAACTCAAAACCCTAGGTCTTTCTTTCTTTTCTTTTCTTAAAAACAGAGTCTATGTGCCCCCTTGCTGGCCTAGAAATCCCTACATAGACCAGGTTAGCTTTGAACTCACAACGTTGTATGTGGCTCTGCCTCCAAGTGCTGGGACTACGGTGTTCCCCACTCACTGCATTGGGTAAGGCTTTCATTGGAGACTAGCCACAAGAGCATTCTCTCGCCAACACCAGACTTAGCCAGAGAAAGCTAGTGCCAAGCTAACTTGACTGGATTTAGAATCTCTGAGGGGACACACCTCCAGGCCTGTGGAAGGGCTTTCCAGAAAAGTTTGCTAAGAAGGGAAAGCTCACTGTGAATGGGTGCTACCATCCATGGCCTGAAATAAAATGGAGAAGAGGGTTCCGCTCCTTCCGGCTGCAGGACGTTCAGATTGGATATGGTGGTCCCTGCCTCTGAAGAGAAGAATTGCTACACTATGGCTGGGGTTTTGCGCTCAGTATTTCAGAGGCCTCCAGACAGACTACAGACTGTGAAAAAAGGTATGGAATCTCTCATTGGTACAGATTGGATTCGTCAAAAATTTACAAGATCAAGAATCCCAGATAAAGTGTTTCAGCCTAGACCTGAGGATCATGAAAAATATGGAGGTGATCCCCAGAACCCTCATAAACTGCATATTGTTACGAGAATAAAAAGTACGAAAAGGCGTCCATACTGGGAGAAAGACACGATCAAGATGCTCGGGTTACAGAAGGCGCACAGCCCTCAGATTCACAAGAACATCCCCTTAGTGAACGCAAAGCTGAAGGTGGTTAAACACTTGATATGGATCCAGCCCCTGAAGCTGCCGCAGGGACTCCCAACAGAAGAGAACATGTCGAGCACCTGCCTCAAGAGCACTGGGGAGCTGGTCATGCACTGGCGTCTGATGCCTGTGGAACAGGAGACCAAGTCCTGAGGCCACACACTGGAGATAAAGTGTGGGTACTGAGGAAACCGGACTCCTTAAAGAGTGTGCCGATCCCGTCGACTCCATGACAAAAGCTAATGTGTGTGGCTCTCCTTCCTGTCCATGTGGACCTCACGAGTTCTGATGTTATTACGTGGTTAAGTTCTCTCCCTTTGTCCCCTAAGAATTTTACTCCATCGTGGTCAAGAGTGGCATTGTTTGAACATCTGACTTTAGGCCCTAGCACTTTAACAATTGTCATTATCTTTCTTTTTTTTTTTTTTTTTTGAGAAACTGCTTTCTTGGGGACTGGAGAGATGGCTCAGAGGTTAAAAGCACTGACTGTTCTTCCAAAGGTTCTGAGTTCAATTTCCAGCAACCACATGGTAGTTCCCAAACATCATACAATGAGATCCAGTGACCTCTTCTAGCCTGCAGGCACACGTGCAGGCAGAACACTGTATACATAATAAATAAATCTTGAAAGGAAAAAAAAAAACGGAGAAGAGGAAGCATCTCCCAAGAAGTCCCAGCTGCACACAACTCCATAACCTCTCGCACACTTCCCCACACTGACAGAGAGCTATACCCTTTTAAACCATGGGCCACAAGAAACCTTTCCTTCCATGAGGTGCTTTTGTCAGGCTTTGTCACTACAACATGAAAACTAATTTATACAGCTGTCTTCACAAAGACCTGCTTAGGAGAACTGCATAATGTGACTGGTAAACATCACCCTCCACTCTTCGAAAATAAAACAACTTCCCCTGAGCTAAAGTTCACTGTGCTAAACTGCATGTGCAACGATTATGCTGAATTCTTACTACATTCTTGCATACAGTTTGTATACACAAAAGAGTTCACAGAGAATGAAAGAGACTGGTCTTTATGGAGCCAGCAAGTAGCACAGGCTGGGTAAACAATTCAATAAAGATTCAAAACTAAACCTGGTGTGGTAGCACACACTTACAATCCCAGCACCTGGAAGGCAGAGGCAGGAGAATCTCTGCAAGTTCAGGCCAGCCTGGGCTACATCCCAAGTTCTAGCAAGTTGTCCTCAGACTTCCGAAAACATGTCATGGCACTCACAGACCCATACCCATCCTTAAGTAGACAAAAAAGTTTCTCTGTGTAATAGCCCTGATTGTCCTGGAACTAGTTTGTAGACCAGGCTGGCCTCAAACTTACAGAAACCCACCTGCCTCTGCCTCCCCAAAACTGGAATGAAAGAAACACACCACCACATCAGCTTATACATGTAGTTTAAAAAACAAAAAACAAAACAAACAAACAAACAAACAAACAAAACTGACAGGAGAATCTTAGGTTCAAAGTCATACACAGGGAGTTCTAAGCTAGACTGGGTTACATTTATCAAGAGGCCCCCAATCAGGGATGGAAAAATGTGATTTTTTTTTCTTAAAGATTTATGTATATATACATATGACTGTTCTATCTGCATATACACCTATATGACAGAAGAGGACATCTGATCCCATTATATGAGCCACCATGTAATTGCTGGGAATTGAACTCGGGACCTCTGGAAGTACAGCCAGTGCTCTTAACCACTGAGCCATCTCTCTAGCCAACAAGAATGTGTGTTTCAATAGATTAAAATGAAAGGTACAGCACTCAGGGAGGCAGAAGCAAGTGGATCTCTATGAGTTCAAGGCCAGCCTGGTCTACAAAGTGAGTCCAGAACAGCCCAGGCTACATAGAAAAACCCTGTCTTGGGGAAAAAAATAATAAGTAGATAGTAGTAAAATGAAAGGTAGCTTACTTAAAAATAGTTGTGACTATGATTGATACTTTGTGATATGTTTATTTCAAGAGATTAGTCTGGAAAAAGAAGTTTTTAATCTAGGCATAGAAGTGCAAGTGCGCACCTGTAATTTTAGCACTCCTGAAAAACACATTCTTCCATCTCTTATCTAAAATTCCCAAAATTACATATATTAAAAGAGAAGGCTAGAGAATGGTAGATCAAAACAAAGATGACTGAAACCCTGAAAGCAGTACATATATCATACATCATATATCAAAATATATCAAAACTCCCTCCTCAATAAATAAATGATTGAATGAATAAATAAGTTTCAAAACAGGCTATACACTGCCAAAGTCAGTTGGAACTATCAACACTGCCAGGCTTGGTGACACATGCCTTTAACCCCTGTACTCAGGAGGCGGACATGGGCAGACCAAATCTAAGACCAGTGTGGTTTACAGTTTTTTCTTGGCCAGCCAAGGATTCATGGTAAGACTCTGTCTCTAATGATCATAACGATGTAGCATTTTCTCATGTTCCTCTTCCCTCCCAGTGCACCCTTTACAGAATTCACATGTAAGCAGAACTACCTAGGAATGAAGCTTCAGCTCTACTCACTTTTGTTTGTTGGAGAGTAGGTCTGAACATGTAGCCAAGGCTGGCCTTGTGCTCTAGATTCTTCCACCCCAGCCTCCTGTGTACTATGAAGACAGGTGTGCACCACCAAAGCTAAGCTTTAGCTTCCTTTCCTGATCCTTAAATGTAAATTTCTTTAATTACTGGAATGTATTTTCAACATTCCAGTAATTAAAACATTAAAAGTCAGTCACAGTGAGAAGACCAATAAACATCCGACGACTGCCAGGATTTCCTGATCCCCTTTTCATTCTAAGCCATTTAGAGCGGACCAGAAAGAAGCCCATGGAGCAGCTCTGAGAACACTAAGCTAGAGGAATCCACAAAGCCAATCAATTGGGCTGACTCAGCTGATCTGGTGGCTACATGTGCATCCTTCTAGACTCACAGCCCCAAAGCTGTGCACCCAGTCAAAGAGAATGACCACGCAGGAGTGGAAGAGGACCAATGTTAGGTCAAGGTAACTGTGCTCCTCTGCTAGATCCTCCACACAAACTCTCAAGTGTATCAGGGAAGCCTGAGAGACAGAAGCAGTACTGACTCGTAACTCTGGAAACGAAAATCAAACAAGAAAAAAACACTTTTCAGGGATTAAAAAAAAATATTCGGGCAAAAATTATCTTGACCAAATGCATCACTAGGTAAAACTATCGCTGCATTGTTACATGATCAAGACTGCAGAGGCATGAGTTGCCCTGGGTACGATCAGAAGAAAAACAAAAACAAAAAACAAAACTCCCTCATCCTGGGCTGGGCAGGGAGCTTAGAAAAGAACATGCTAAGCACACTTTTACTTGTGTGTGTGTTTTAATAATGGGTTACTCCACACAGGGTGATGCTGCCGCCCCTAAGAGCCACTGACCATCTAACAAAAACCCCAATGCCAAGCATCAGAAACCTCTCTTCCAATTGTTGGTCAGAGGACTACAAAAGTCTCCCAGACAAAATGGACTATTGCAGCTGCCTTCCAGAACTTGAAGGTAAGACTCTCTTGATGACACCACACACTTCAGACACAGAACTTAGAGGAACAGAGCTGAAACTGACCTGGAAACCTTCCCCTTGAGGATTAGTTCTCATAGTCAAAGAGAGTGCTACGCAAGCTGCCAATGGAGAGAAGCAATCTTACCAGCTGGGAGGCGTATGATCCACAATGACTGAACCAATAAGATAGCCCCAATGGTAAAATAGTGACCCTGTATCTTGGAGGTAGCCAATAACTGTCTAACTGTACTTAAAGCCCACCCAATAAGAGGGGATTCATTCCTGGTACTGTAAACATAACCAACTATCCATGGCCAGAGAAGTTACAGACCTGAGAAGAGAACCTACTACTGTCATGTTTCTAAACCACTATTTTCTAACCACATTCTAAATATTTACCTTTACACCCACAGATAAATGTGGCTCTCATCCTTCATCAAAGAAGCTTCTTTTTGCAACAGATGGAGACTATTACAGAGATCCACAATTGGTCATATGCAGTTACAGACAGGGAGGTGCCGACTCCAACTGCTCCATCCCCAACTTAACCCTACACCTCAGACTCAGGAAAAAATATCAGAAGAGCAGGCAGAAAAACATCCTAGAGCCTAGTGGCACACGCCTGTAATCCCAGCACTTAGGGAGACAGAGGCAGGTGGATCCCTGTGAGTTCAAGGCCAGGACTACAGAGTGAGTCCAGGACAGCCAGGGCTATACAGAGAACGCCTTTCTCAGATTTAAAAAAAAAAAAAAAAAAAAAAAAAAACCTTTAAAAAAATTAATAAAAAAAAAAAAAAAAAAAAAAAAGCCTTCAGAATACTTGTTAGCAGACAGTGTCCCCTTGGCATGACAGAAAATAAATAAATAGATAGATAGATAGATAGATAGATAGATAGATAGATAGATAGATAAATAAATAAATAGATGGATAAGTAAGTAAGTAAATGAATAAGTAAATAAATAAATAAGTAAATAAATAAAGCTGTGAAGCCTCAAGAGTTACAGATGCCAGAACATAACAAGCATAGTGTCAACAGGAGCTGGCATGCCATCATGGACAGAAGAAATTCCATATAGTCCCAAGCATAGATGAAGAGCTGCAGGTGATCGATGAATGCTGAGAAAGGGAGAATTAGCTGCCTCCAGGAATGAACTCCTCCACAGGATGAGAGGTCAGCTCTAAACACATGTATATACGAGCAACAGCAAATAGACTCAGTAGGCTGTAAATACATAGACACATAGGTATATACACCTAACAATAATAAAGAGACCACAAACTGGGGAGGACACAGGAGGATTTGGAGTTGAGAGTGACGTGGATACAATGCTCATGTACAAGATTCTGAAACACAACAAAACTACAAAAACTGGGCACAGTGGCATATACCCTTGTAATTCCAGCACTGAGAAGACAAGTAGATCCCTGGAGCTCAACAGCCAGCCAGCCTAGCCTATCTGGTGACTTTTTGTCCACTGAGAGGCCTTGTCTCAAAAAGTCAAGGTGATGAGTACCTAAGAGGTGGCACCTCAGTCTGTCCGCTGGCCTACACATATGTGCTCGTGCATTCACACGTGCATGCGCACACACATCAAATTCTAGTATCCTATAGATCATGGCACAATTCTAAACATTTTTAGGCTGCAGTTGACAGTTATTATTAATATCAAACAACTTTTTGCTAGAATAATTTTTAATACTAAAATGTGAGGGGGGGTAAGGAGGGAGAAAGGGCTTCTGAGCCCTCACCTCTAACCCAGGAGCTATGCACAAGGAGCTGATGGCTTCTTGGGGTAAGTCACTTTTCTTGAAAGAGTGTGGCTCCTGGTAAGGCAACCACATTTCAGTAAATGGCCCCACAACCAAAAGTATATGAACAGCACAAAGTGTACTCAATGGATAATTTTTTTAAAAGGGGGTTGGGAAATAGAGAGATGGCTCCATGGTTAAGAGCATTGGCTCCTCTTCCAGAGGACCGAGGTTTGGTTCCCAGAATACATATGGTGGCTCATAACCACCTGAGCTCCAGCTCTAGGGGATCCAACAACCTTTTGGCATGCAAGTGGTATACAGGCATACATGCAGGGAAAACACCCATATACATTTATATAAATATATATAAATATATAATATATACACACACACATTTTTTTAAAGTAAAAAATAAGTAAATAAAAGGATCAGATGCTTCTACTTTATGGCTCCTGTGTTAACATCATTCTTCTGGCAAAGTACTCTGAAACACTAAGCTTTCAGTCTTCAAAAGCAGGATTTCTACTTCAGTGACAAGAACAAAGTTTGACAAGCAAATATTTGAGTAGAATTACTTTTATATTAGTCTTACTGACAATAAGCTGTCACAAGTTATGCAAATTATTGTGCACAGACTTTATTTTCTTTACCTGTTCCTCAAGCCTGTTCCATTGCCACAGCTGCTACCAACCAACGTCTGCATAGAAGGTAAAGCTGAACGGCTTAGGTGCTGCCGACTAGGACCCCTCCTCCTACTGGGCATGTCCAGGAACCAGTCAGTTTCCAGTGCCACCTGCAGCTGCAACCCAGGCTAATGGCTGTCAACTTATTCCAACTCTGAATAATAATAAAAAACAACAACAACAACAAAAACCTAAATATCAGGTAGCTTGTTTTTAAAGAAGTCAGTGTAACAGGCA